TTAGCATTTTGAAGACAATTTTACTTTGTCTTACAGTATACTTTTTTCATAATGTATTAGACGAAAATTCGTTGCCAGTGCCTTTTTAAGCTCATTTATGGCCTTGGGCGCAGAAGAGCTATAGGTTCCCTTAACAATGGATAATCGAAATTTATAATCAGAAAATCTGGTTAAGTCCAGCTTATCCGGGCCCCTTGCACCCGCCCCAAGTGCCTAATGGATAAAACGGCACTGTTCGTTGCTATTGCGGTACCCGAGATTTCTTGGCTGCCTATTTAGTGGTCAGCAGTGTGTGTTCCAGTCGAGCCACGCGTTTGCTAAATGTATCCATTGTACGAAATAATGGGCTTGCAGCATGTTAAATTAATTGCATTATATTAACTTGGCAAAATACAAACTATTTCTTGCAAAATGTTATATTAATTATAAGTTTTAAAAATTATTTACAAATGAAGTTACTCTCATTCAAATGCACTTTTTCAGTGCTTTTTATACACGAATTACTTGCAAATTTGTAGGGTGTTTCTAGGTCTATACATACGGGATCGTCTTACAGTTCTAATAATTCGCATGATTTCTTCATGAAGTTTCAATTTTCACAAACTATTGCGTATTTATATAAAAAAATCTTTTAATGTTAATCACTGATTACAGTTAAATTTCATTAAAAATTAAAAAAAAGAGAAACTCTTGAATTTTAGTTAATTTTACTTATTTCTTTTATCCTAAATTGCTTTTATAATTTTACGCATTGTTTTTAAAAATTAAACTGTGAAGTATATATCGTAATAGAAAACATCTATTTTTCTTTATTGTCGAATAATAAAATACATGTAATCGAGTAAAATGTACAGGATTTTCTACTACTGATTAAATAGAAAGGGAAAGACCTATCACCATACATTTAATGTCCATGTGTTTGCTTCATAGAGAAATAAATCATACTCTCAAGATTTTCTTTTTTTTAAGAAACATGGGAAAAGAGCAATCAATTAAATTTGACGCACGCCATTTAAAATTTCAGCTAAAATACAAAATCTTTTGCTCGTTGATTTATTTTTCAATTTAAATCTTTTAGATTTTCATAGTTCTAATGAAATTCGGGCATTAATTATTATAATACATAAGAACATATAATAATGATAATAAATGTTTTAATACATTAATAGAGTGTATTTGTTTCATTATAACGGGAATATAATTGTTTTTAATATATGTACCATAAATGGAATGAAATGTGAACATATGAAGAATTTAATCATTAGATTACAGTAGATATATGTATTGCTATAATTTACAGGACATTATTTGAATTTTTTGTACAGATATTTGACAATTTTTAGTTGGTTTTGTAAATAAGCTAAATATTTTTTTATATGGGGGTATGTGTTATAAAAGTATGTATGGAATTTTCAATTTTATATTTTTAAATTTCAATGCTAGAATAAGAATATTAACAATTCTCTTTATAAGAATGTAATCTTAAGCTATACACAACAAAATGTTTACATATGAATTGAACACAGCCAAACTAATAGTTTTCTTTCTCTAATTATAGTTATAAACATATATTTTACGCAACTGAGATACCTTTTGCATCATTCTGATTTTACCTCTGCTTTGTCAGATTAATACATAGTGTTTGCTTTTAAGCTTCATTTCATATTCAAGAATTTTTCCCTTCATTTTCTTTAAGTATTTGCATTTTGTTTTGTTATTACTTCTTTTTTAGATAATTTCTTCCCTTACAGTTGAAAGCTGTTTTTCTGAGAAACGTTAACAGTTAAGCCACTTTGGCACTTTAATAGGCTTCTGTTGTTTCAGGGTTTTATGACCTTCTTTAGGATTGTTCTTTCTGTATATTCTTGATTATTTGGGGGCCCTATTTTGTAGAAATTCTCCACTGAGGGAAAGTTTACACCCATAAAGCATACTTAAATCCACATAAACTGTCGTTAGTCAGTAGTAGTAACACACATCAATCTTTGTGCTTCGATTACAAATCACATTCTGAATTTTCTCTTTAAGAGGTTTCATTTTTTTTAGATTCTTGTATGACATTGAGTGCCATTTTTTATATGTGCAATAGCAAAGTAGTAGTGTTTAACTTTTGACCTGTTAGACCAGTTAGTAATAAATTATTTATCCATATTCAAATCAGAATAATTTATATGGTAGAATTGTCGTATCGGCCACTTATCCCTCCAAATGTTTTCTCGCCAAATCGATGAAAGGAGTCAAAATCGCCAAATCGTAGGGTTGCTAGTCCAAAACACAACACGCAAAAATGCGCCAAATTGCCAATTTTTCAAAATTTGGTGGATCAGTGGCCGATTCAACAATTTCACCATTTATTTTACAGCCTGCAGCATCACAGGAACACAGCACACACACAAATAAATATAAATAGATTTTAACCCTTAACTTCGCAATTTTTTAAATTTCTATGAACAAATTATATCAGTTAGTTCTCAAGTAATAATAAAAGAGAAAAATATGAAAAAAATATTAAGTAGTTTTAAATTAAATTTCAGTCAATTTTTTGTTTGTTACAGAAGTGCAACATTGCGCAGTAGTGCTGTAAATTAAAAAACTTTTTTTTTATATGAGGATTTTATTATTCATCATAAAATGTTTAAATTTCTTACCTGGTAATTTATTTCGTCAATAAACAAGAGGAAGCATAAAATATAATGGATTCTTTTTATAGCAAAAACACAGTTCTTGAGGCATCAGAGATTTTTATAATTGTTGTGATTTCTGAAAAAATGTACTTCCATCTAGTGACAAAATTAGCATGTATTTCGTTGCAGTAATCTTTTTTTCCCCAGATAAGTGATTTGCAGGTAAATAAAAAAAATATTGAGTCTGTTAAATTAAAATAAATCATATGTTGCAAAAATGCAACAGTGCGAAGTTAAGGGTTAAAATAACAACTGTTACCCATATTTTGGTTAGTAAACCGCTATGCCAATTCTGCCACAGGAAAAACCTTTTTGTAAAAACGCCAAAGATCATTGGATAGCGTTTTGGTAGCATGGCGCCATTTGAAGAGAGTTAGCTGACTAAAAAAGCGAGTTGCAGTTGCATGATTTTTGAGTACTTTGAATTTTGACTTGATTGCTTTCTGATTATATATATATAATATTTTTAAACCACGGAGTTGTTGAGGGGTAATGGTCGTGAACTCGTATACAACATTCTCGAGTCCCGGGCTCGAGTCTAAGTACCACTAAGACTCGAAACCAGCTTGAAGAATCAGGTGCCAGCTCAGGTGTCATTCTCATCATTTGACAGAGGTTCAAAATTACTCGGTTTGTTGCCAGTAGCCCTTACGATGTTTTAGAGGGCGATGTTATTATAAAATATTAATATAAAATAACATCATGAAATATTTTTTATCTTAGAGAAATAAGTTTAACGCGAAAACGCTTAAGGCGAAATATCAATTAACACGAAATAATACAACGGTTCTGACAGGCTACTACGTATTTCATGGATTTTTTTTCTCTTAACACGAAAAAAATGAAAATCGCTTAGCTCGAAAATATTTCCCTTTTGGGAAGGGACAAAATACGAAAAACACCAGCCACGCAAGTGAGATTTAAGTTGGATGTAAAATGAAACAGAGGTATTTTTTCATATTATTGGACTGTCCTGCTGTATCATCTGAAGAATTCGTTGCAGTAGATGGTGATAATGTGTGTACAGCCGCAATTATAGCATACAAAGTCATTTTGGAATTTTTTTTTTTTTTTTTTTTGCAAAATCCTTTAACACGAAATTCTTTTAACATGAAAAAATATTTTAGTCTTTTCAATTTCCTGTTAAACGATTTTCACTGTATATATCTGTTTTATAAAATACACGCCTAATGTTCACCTTCGAAATTAATGTCTTTCTATCTCTCTTTAACAGCTAAGCTGATTAAGTTGTACAATTCGCCTATGTAGGGCAAGACGAAATATATATATAAGTGCAGAAGTATTTTCTCTCGAAATTATAAATACAACTCTCTCACTATATTGAGGCCCTCTTTCACTCACTATTCGTGCACACACGCGAAACATGTTATAATAAACCGCCCGGAACTAACATTTTAACATGAATATAAAATTTGAATTATTTTAAATCATTATATTGTTTCATAGAAAATAGGATTCAACTACGAAAATAATTAAATTATGATAGTTAATTCAGTGTTATAATTCATCAACACTAATCATTAAACTGATATAATAATAAGACATAATGTCATCAATCTTTATGTATACAAATATACACACACTGGCATCCAAAAATTAAGTGCAATCTGTTTTTTGTGTCTAATTTGAAAATAAATGGACACAGAAACCAGAAATTAGGAGGAAATAGTTCTTTTATTGAATGCGACTCTAAAATCTGCATAAACTTAACGCATAAACAAGATTTACAATAAAAAAATACACTCTTGGTAAAAAAATCCTGTCATCGAGAAAGCACTACTTCACAATTTTATGTGGAAAAACGTCCCGGAAAGATTATAAGAAAAGGGATTTTAATAAAAATGTGTGTGTCTCCACCTCTAACTGCAATACATTGGCAGCATTGGCTTTCCATTCTGCCAATTAAGTCATCTTACACCGAAATGGAAAGGGATGGCCAAACATGGAATAACCCTTGTACCAGCCCATGTGAACACCTTGGATGTCTAAAGAACAAGAAATCTAAAAAATTTTTAAGTCAATTCCTACTTAGGTCAAAAAAGAAATTTTTTATTTTAGTTACTTTTTATTTAATAGTTACACTTAATATAAATATGTATATACATATGACAGAATCACAGTATTATGTGACAAAATAAAAAACGATTTTTCTTGAAGTTTTCCATTTTCCTTTCAACATATGGTTTTGGACTATTTTTTTTTTTTTTTTGCTACTATTTATTCATTAATTATAAATTTAATTATTCTCATAAAGTAGTACAGTAAAAAAGGAAATCGCATTCTCAGAAATTAGGCCATCCCAGGTGGGATTCGAATCCCCAACCTTTGGATTAAAAGTCCAACGCGCTATCCATTGCTCCACAGGGACACAACGAACGATTTTCCTTTTTATATATGATGTTGGACTATTATTTTTGTTTGTTACTATGTATTCATTTTTTAATTTAATTAATGAATTGAGATATTTGAAAGAAGTATTAACGTCAAGTGTCCTCCACTACAAGTTTAAAAAAATGTATTTGAACTTGAATGGATGAATAGAAAGTATTTTATTAACAATTGAAAATATGAACAAGATATAATATATATATATATATATATATATATATATAAATATATAAATGAAGCTCAGTGGCTGAGTGGTTAGTGCATCGCACTTTCACATCACTGGTCCGAGGTTTAAACCCCGGACTGGGCATGGTTGACTCAGCCTTTCATCCCTTCAGGTTGTCGATAAAGAAGTACCAAGCTTGCTTGGGAACTTAACACTGGAGGTTTCGCGTCAGACTGACCACCTGATCGAAGAATCTACTCATGCACCCCAAGGCCCAAGGTCGCGTATACTGAGTTGAGCACAGTAGACCTTGGCCCTCATGGGCTGTTGCGCCACTGATTTAAGTTGTGTTATATATATATATATATATAGTAAATAAATTAAAAAGAAGACTAATAAATCCTAAGACATCTTCACATCAAACCGAAAGAACCAAGAACATGGAACCATTGCAAACCAAAAAAGAGAAATATAGCCAGAGTGGAAAAAAAACTATTATGATTTCCCGACGTTTGCTCCCATACTAACTTAACTTCCTAAGCTGGATTGTTGAGATTTGATAGGTTGTTGAAACTTGTTAATAAATTATGTTTGTTTTGACTATGGCTAATATTCTTTCTAACTCTCGTCCACTGATGGATGGGAGAGCTCATCCATTCTGGAGAAAAATATTTCTTAACTGTCGTATGTGTAAAATATTGCTTCCCGCAGAATATTTCAAATCCTCGGAGTTAAGGAAGTGGTTCTTTAATCCAGGTTAGCAAGTAATTCCGGTCACGCACTAACCAGTACTGTAACATAGGATCGTAAGCAAGATAACTGACATAATTATTTGTCTCAGATAGTGATTAAGTTGACCGCTCCTTCACATTGCTTGAGAATCAATTGAAATCAAATGATTGGTTTTTATCCTAATGGCTGACAAGCGAACAATTTTTGTAGAACAGAGGACTCTAAACTATAATAGTTCGAGAGTAAATGATTTCAACCAACAATACCTTGGTTGGATTTCACTTTTTTTTTTCTTCCAGTTATTTAAATAAAATAGTTTCTAGTTTGAATTTTCACTCTGGAATATTCAGAAATTATTTCATCTGACAAAACAAAACAGTTGAAAACAAAAATTGGAAAAATATTTAATATATTCTAAATTATATTAAAAAACGCCTTAGATTTATCGTTGTAAACATTATAAATACTAAAATTAGGCTTGTTACTAAGAAACAAATAAAGCAAAGTTACATTTGCTTATCTTTGCATATTATACTACAGCTGCTTTGGTTAGAAGTTCATGTGTCTCTAAATACGTCTTCAATTTTCTCTGGATTCAGAGTTAAAACTCACATAATTTTTTTGCAGAAAGTTAGGAGACTCATGAATAAAAGACATTAAATATCTAACATTCATATTTTTGGGATGATCCTTATGAAAGATTCTAATTAAAAATATTTTTCGTAAATTTTTATTCATCAAAAATGTAAAATGTCTTCTTTGTGTATTTAGAATGAGAAAGATAGTATAAAGAAGATAATATGATATCTCAAGTGATGTATGACAATATAATATTTGTATAAACTAAGAATATGATACTTGTATTCAGTTCTGCGTGTTTGTTACGAAACTGTAAAAAGTCATTTTAAGAAATTCAAATACAATAATGATCGCAATCAGTGCGGCGCATCAACGATTTCTTAAGAGAATATGTATAACATATATTAAGGATTGAATAGCAATGACGTTGATGTTTTTTTAAGCTTTAGTTTCAAAAGTTTTTCAAGCTGTCTTCTATATCATTACAATTTACAAGTCCTCTCGTGAGGTTGATGGAAGGGGAAGAGAAAAGGGAGACCCTGACCGTCCCCCAGGATGTTCTCCTTCAAAATTGGGGTGGAAACGAGCTAAATCGCACTGTCACCTGTATGGTGCTCAACGTTACGGCCACCGGCAGGCGTACATCTAGCCCCTTTGCCATGATGAATTTCGTGGGCCTGAATCTGACGCAGTCGAGATCAGGTGGCATAAGAAACAACAACAACATGAAATGCCTGAACTGTTTCAGTGAAATGAGCTAGTCAGGATTTGCATTGGCAAAATGCTGTCCTGGGGGAGGCACCTGCAGGGTGGTCGAGTCCTTGCACTTCCTAACCAAACAACCCTATCGATCTCCCAAATATCAACCCCATATTTAAAAAAAAAAAAAAAAATGGCACCATAGGATTAACATGAGTTGATATTTTAGTGTGTCAAACCTCCACAGCCCAAAGCAGGTCATTAATAAAGAAATTATGAAGTGGGGGGGGGACAGGCTAAGTCCTGTCCCCTTACCACGTGTGCTTTCCCGGTTTCCTGTTACACATTTCTGTCCCTTTTCACGAAATCACTCCCACAAATATCCAGCAACCGAGAGGAAAGATGTTACACATAAAAAATATATCAGCCTAATTTTTTAATTATTTGTTAATTAGTTTCGAATAAATAATTTGTATTTCATTGACTATATTGTTGTATTACCTACTTGTACGTTTAATAAAGCACTATATTTGTTAAATAAACACTTTTAAACTCTTGACAATATTGCGACATAGCCATCCTGTGATGACTATGTCTTGTAGGATCTGCGTAAGCTAGAGGTGTGGGATTATCCAAATGATGAGACATTATGTACTTCTTAACACAACTTTTATTAAGAATAACTTAAATTACTTAATTCTAATTAACAACTTTCTTAAAGTGAGAGTTAACACCCAATTAAACCTTATATTCAAGTCAGAAGGCAACTAGATCACTTATCTTAATGATCTTTAATTAACAGTCAAATCTAACTTCTTATACAAAATATTACCTTTTGCAGAGTCACCTTCCTTCATCGATTGAGGTAATACCTATAACGTAATTTTAGATGACAAGATTCAGACTTTCTTATAATTTAATTGAGATGAACGTATCCTTCTTCCAGAGCTATAGGACGACTAACACTTGATCCGAATGATTCCACACTAAGTTATCTCTAGACTTGCCGCTCTTTCTCATCAAACTTTCTATCCTTTTAAAGTATATCTCATTTACATATTCGATCCGTTTTTCTTCTTGGTATTGGGTTGGAAAAGTTTTGCCATTAATCGTGGCCGTCAAAGAACTTAGGAGTTATGTTAGAAGAAGGACGCGAGAGACGTCACAATATTATTTCATCATTTCACTGAAACAGATCAGGGATTTGTTCAAATCCCTTACTTTCATCAGGGAAATGACCTTGAAGAGATGTTTTAACATCTCCCGTCAATTAATCACATCTCTTAGGGATTTGATCAAATTCTTAATTTCATAGTATATATATATATAAATCATATATTATTCTCTCTAAATTTTTTAAATATATATATATTTAAAAAATTTGGTTATTTTTATTTTGAAATTTTTTGAAAGGGAGAATAATATATGATTTTTTTTTGGAAGAGCATACTTATACACTATTTCAGTAATATGATATTCTTAATTTCATTATTGATATAAAGTTTGTTTCTAAATTAAGCTAGCTCTATAGCTAGATGTGGCAGACATCATAATTTTGAACAGCGAGACAGTATTTGAGCTGGTAACTCACTCTCTTACCTTCCATTTTGCTTTATTTGTAAACTTTGATTTTCTCTTACAATTGATATAAAACATTCTCTATTGTGCCATATACGATAATTCTTTTTTGGAAGAGAGACGTGTACTGAAGGATAAATAAATGAAAGTATAATAATACAGAAGAGTGGTTATTTAATTTTAAATAACACTTAGTTTAAGAGAATCATTCACTAATAAATTTCAAAATGAAAATACAAGCTTTAACTAATTGGGACACATTGTTAACACTACGCACTTATCCTGACGAAATATTTAAGCAATATGATTCTTTAAAAAACAATTTAAGTTGCCAAATAAATTTGAAATTATGACATGAAAAGGAAGTATTTTAAAGCAATTAATAATAATAATGGCCTTACGCAATAACTCATAAATTGCATAGATAATTTTAATTAGCGTAGTCATAGAGATATCTAAAGTGTTGTGTTTTATTATGGTCTGTGGTTGCGAATAATGAAAACTACAAATGAGTTTCCAAAATTTCACACTACATCACTGATTAATTCTGAGACTATCTGTGATGGCTTAGAAGTGCAGTCAAATACATTATTTTATAAGTCTGTTTTTGATAAAATCAGTGCCGATTCCCAGGCATTGTGAACAAACCATTGCTCTACGACTACGTTACGATGGCTCTAGAATCTGCTCATTAAACAAATACAAATTCTAGTAAAATCAAAAAAATTAGCAAAGCAAGTTATATTCTTAACTTTTTTTTTTATTGAGAACATTTATAATCCCGTACACCACAAATTATCACAGAGGGGCTTATATAGAAGTAAGCGTGAAGCACACATCACAAAGAAGAGAAGGATTACAACACAAATATCTATGCCTTACCTGGGATTCGGACCCAGACCCTAGGGCAGCGTTTCTCAAACTGTGGGGTGCTCCCCCCTTGAGGGGCGTGATAATTCTACAAGGGGGGCGCGAGCATATTGAAAAGTCGAAATCAAAAGATTATTTAAAAAAATTATAAATTTTGTGGAAGTAAACAAACAAAATACTTTCTGATATAATAAAATATAAAATACACATTTACAGTGATATAATACACTTATAAATGTATCAGTACTTTGCAATGTATTTCATTATTAATGTAACAATACTAAGTTAAGAATAAGTTTGATAATTACCACAGTGACCCCATGGGCTTGTATTAACATTTATCTTGATAATTTGTG